TCATCTTTGTTTCTTTTTATGTAGCTTCCGCCACAAGAAGCATAAAAAATGCCCTTATTAGCATCAGATAAACTTGAAAAGAAACATTAAACTAATTACCACTTAGGTATGTCATAATGTGGACACTTCCGTAGCAAGTTATTCAAACGTTCCCATGCTTCGTGAAGGGGTTCTCCTTCTTCTTATTTAAATTCATGAATGGAAGTTCTCATGGCATCGATTCGACTTACGGGTAATACTTCTTTAGGAACTCTTGTTGCAATTGTGCCCAAAAGGTGATTGTATTTGTCCCCAAGTTGTTAAACCAATATTTAGCTTTATCCCAAAGAGTGAAAGGGAAAAACTTCATTTTAAGGACTTTTTCCGGAACATCTATGATTTTCACAGTGGAACAAACTTCCAAGAACTCATCTAAATGTTTATAAGGCTCTTCATTGCTCAACCCATAGAAAAGGGGCACATGTTAATGGTGGAAGCCTTAATCTCATAATGACGAGCACGAAAATTTGGCAACTGAATGCAAGTGGGTGTATTATATTAATTTGGAGTGTAACGATCCCTAAGGACCATTGGAGGATTGAGAGGAGGATATGCCATTTGACCTTGATGAGGGTATGCCATTTGACCTTGTTGAGGGTATACCATTTGAACATTTTGATGTTGTTGCTCACCAATTGAGGGAATAACATTTGGCCTTAGCATATCTAGATTAGGTTATTGCACAACAAGATTGATTGGTCATGGCATTCCCAAGGCTGGATGGACACCTTGAGGATCCACAATATGAACTTGTGGTGGGTGGTGTACACCATTATGATCCACATGACCAAGATCTTCAATGGGATCTGCAATTGGATCTACTGGATCTTCCATTAAAGGTGATGGAGGATCAAAATTTGGAAGATTAGGATGACTATCTCTTGTACTACCTTTTAAAAACTAAAGGGAAACTTCGAGATTTTGATTTATAGGAGTAAGAGGATGACTAACTGATCTACGACCATGCATGCACTAGCATAAGTCAACACACCAACAGTTCAATTTTTCAACCTCCATATACGATGTTCCCAAACTCCTCAATAATACCAATGCACTTAAAACAAATAAATACCTCCACACAGGCCGATGCCTTCTACAAGAAGGTATGCTTGAACTTAAAAATAAAACAATTCAATTTAAGCCTCCACTTGGGCTATCCAAAGCATGTAAGATAGTAAAAAATTAAAACACAAGAATCAAAGAAAAACTTACAAATAGTCCTTAAGCAACTTCAATTTTTTTTTAATTGTTTCAAAGTCCAGCATTTGCTCTATTTTGTTTCAAGTACCTAATTAAAAAATATCAGATGAGAAAATAAAAATTAAAATGACTTTAAAGTAAACAATCAACAAAGAACTAATGTCTAATTCAATTCTTTAAAACCGTTAGATCCCCAGCAATGGCACTAAAACTATGACGCGACCGAGCGTGTGTAAAAAATAATGTACAACACTTTAGGTTTAGAAATAATGTCAAGTGGGTATCATATTTTATAATTTATAAAACCACTAAACACTTATACTATGGAGTATGAAGCGAGTAGGGATCGTCCCAAGAGATCTAAAAAATGTAGGTTTTTTGAATTGAATTCTATTTTAGTGCTTATGTGACTGCTAAAAAGATGTTTGTTTTATGATTAGAACTAATTTTAATTTAACTACTTGCAACAAAAGAATAGAGTTTTAAAGATTAGGAAAGAGACTTAGGGTGTAGGACTCACCACTAAGCATATTCCCTAACTCACTAACTTTCAACTAATTGGGGAAATAATACTACGTAATTCTAATGTAGCTAACATTTGCAAAGAAAAACATGAATCATCAATTTCAAGCTTGAATTACCTACTTAAAGACAATTAAACTAGGTGTAGTATAATTCATCAATCCAAAGCATGACTCATCAATTCAAGTTACAAGTTTAACATACATCAATTAAGAAGGTAATGCATTTATGACAAAGAACATGGAATTCAAACGCAAGTATAGATGGCCTACTTACCTAATAATTAAATTGCAATTAAACTAATTAAACTTAAATTAAACTAATTAAATATGAAATTAAAAATAATTAGATAATGAATTAACCTAAACATGTAGTGCCATCCATCAAGTAGAAGTATTTTCCATTAATTTGAAACACAATTACAACTAATCAATACCATGCATAGCCATCACAAGAATCAATTAACAAAGAATTCAAGTGTAAAATTTGTTTATCAATCAACCACACATAAGACAACATGAGATTAATACAGATAATCAATTGGAGGAATTTAATTTATAATATTCAAAACTATACACTAATTATATAAATTAATCCCCAAAAAGTGAAAAGAGAGAGAGAGAATAGGTTACATGTTTAGGGTTTATCCAACCCTAAATAAAAGAATCAGCCACTCATGGTTGATAGATTGAAGATGTCAACAAGTTCCATCATCTGCTTCATCATCTCTGAGCTTTTTCTTCCAAACCCTAGTCCGTTCTTCTTTTTCTCGTCTTTCGTGTGTTTTCCCGAGAGAATGATGTAAAACTTACAGAATATAAAAAAAAAACTTAATAATAATTAATAATAAAAACTCACTTAAATAAAATAATAACTAACCCTAAACTCATGGTTCACTGGGCCCTTAAGTAACAAACCCTATTAAAGCCCATAAGTTACAAAAAAAAGCCCAAAAGACAAAATCCTGTAGCCATCAAAGGTCCAACCCTAACTTAAATTGTTGCCAACAACATGGCATCCGAACGCTGCGTTTGGCGTCTGGACGCAGTGTATGGGAAGCTTGCGTCCGGATGCAAGGAATGGCGTCCAGATGCAGTGCACTCTGCTGCATCCTTGGCATTTTTCTATTTTCTTCTGAAATGTTCTGGAACTTTTTGCTTATCTCCAAAAATGCGGTAATGGACTAATTTAAACCCGTTTGAACTTTATTGCCCTGAAATACACATAAACATAAAACATAAATTAGGACTAAAACATAAAAATAAGATAAATGCAAAGACTAAAATACCCTAACTTAGGTGCTTAAATGTGCAGCATTTAAGCACTTTTCATTTGTGTAATTAAATTGGTTTAAATGATTAATTGTTTAGTTAAATGATTTTGTTTATTTTTAGTTTATTTTATTTTAAAAGATGATGGATTTGGGTTGTAGCCCATGGACCAACTAGATGGGTCTTGGATTATTTGAATGGGATCCTAAAAGGGTTGGATAGTGACCCATGGGGATTTGTAGTTATATATATATATATATATATATATATATATATATATATATCATGAGGTGTATATATATATATATCTATATATATATATCTATATTATATTCAATTTGAAAGTTTAAGGCAAGTTCTCTTTTCCACACTTCTTCCTTGGATTTGTGATTTATATGTCTCTAGCATAATTTTTGGGATGTTTAAAGGATTATTAAAATTGTAATCCATGTTTAATTTGATCTAGAACATAGATTTTTATGAGTTTATCTTCATGGTTGTTATTATTGTATGAATTAATAAATTCATGACTTAGATATGATTTTTGATGTATTTCTATATGTTATAATGATGTATTTTTGTGCTCGTGTGTTGATGGGACTTAGTTACATGCTTTATAACCCTTAACAATGAAGATTAGAGCTTTAAACTGAGTTTCTCGGGCTGTTTCATGAAACAGTGCTCAAGCACCCTAGGGACGAAACAGTGCTCAAGCACCTTAAGGACGAAACAGTGCTCGAGTACATAGTTTTCAACTGTATCATTAATTATACAATGCCTCCGGATAATTATGAGGTGAATGGGCACCACTGTACGTTGGGGTATTACCTAGTTGATGGTATATACCCTAAATAGGCAACTTTGTAAATCATCCCGCACCCTATTACTGAAAAAGATAGATTGTTTGCTCAACAACAAAAAACTATTAGGAAGGATGTTGAATGAGTGTTTAGTGTGCTACAGATAAGGTGGACTATAACACATGGACCAGTGTTTTATTTGAAAAAAGAAAACTTGAGAAAGATAATGAGAATGTGCATCTTATTGCACAATATGATCATAGAAGACGAGGGCGGCACCAAAATTTTAGAATGGACACCTCCAATGGATGAGCCGATGTGCCTTCCATACTAGAATTGAGACCGATCATTTTTGGTGGCACACATCTCCATTCACCTCTATAGGATTCGTAATGTGGAGAACAAAGAGGATCTCATGGAACATTTATGGAATAAATTTGGTAATGAAGAAGTTTAATAATAATATTGAGTAAAATGTAATTTTTCATATTGTTTGTGATGAATAAAATATTATTTCTAATTTTTTTTAATTCTCATATATTGTTGACAAATTGAGAAAAAAAAAAAAAAAAGATTCAAAGGCAAAGGAATAAAAAGGTTTACATTAGATAAAGTTACATCCTAAGATGAAATCACCATGCATATAGGGAAAGCAAAGTAATTTTGGTATGATAAATTTTTTGTCATTTAACCAAATAGCAATGTCTTTTGCTTTAAATTGAATGACATTTATGGGAGCTTCAACATTAATGCCTTGAACACCAATGGGATGTTTCATTTATCGCCATTTTTCTGATGGGATGGCATTATAACGACAACAACTGGTTGTCGCTCCAGTGTCGATGAGGACACATAAACTATAAGGTTTGTAACCTTTGAAGTTAAGAATACCATTTACGTAAGTATACTTTTGCTTTTTCCCTTGAGAAGGCGCAATATGGATTTTGTCATTTCTTTGTCTGAAATGGAAAAATCTTGCGGACTTCATGAAGTGATTGGAGCCAGGAAGGAAAGGTGCATCTATAGGAGCTTTTCCTTTTTCGGTCCATGTAAACCTTCGACTTGGAGGTAGTAGGTCGGAGGTCTGAACATTAGATGTTCGTGGAGGAAGGAGTTTGTCCCATCTAGAGGAGTTGCTAGATATGCGTGCGGAGGCAGAACGCTGCAACTATGGTTGCTTCTCTTTATTGGTGATATAAAGATTGGAACCAGAGGCTTGAATGGTGGTAACAGTAGGCTCAGTTATACGCAATTTTGGTTCCGAGTTGATGTTTTTGAATAACCAATTGCGAGGAATTTCCAGATCTGTCCATTTTAGTAATTTTGGTTCAATTATTGAATCAAAAGGACGTGGTTCGAACAAGGTGACTAGTTTAGAGTCAATTGTAGGAATGGTGGTGGTTTTGGGTTCACGAGTAAGCTCGTAGAGAACTTTCCACTGTATTCCTAGACTTGGAGAATCAAAATCCATTTTGAGATTGGAAAGTTGAAGTTTAAATTGAAGAACTTTCTCAATGTTTGGATCTGTAAGGGAAACGAAATAATTCGGTTTGATTTTAAACCAAATTACATTGTTAATAAGATTGGATTCAACGCCGCCAATGAGGGCATCAACAGGGTTATGGAATCGATTATCCATAATGAGAGCAAGGATGGGTTGATTAATTCCTTTGCGGAATAGAGAAGTAATTTTGATCTGAACCATTCCAATATGAATATATCGGGCGAGAGGATTCTATTGTCGCCATCGTGCAACCTTGTCGTTGTTGAGGATATTGAATCCATACTTACCACTAGAGGTGTAATCGATAGTGGTATCACCGCTAAATTGTTCAAGGATCCTTTTTAAAAAGATAAAGAACTTGGAAGTCTTATAGACTTCGTCTTTTTCCAACTTCTAGAGTTTAGCAAACTAAACAAGTTGTTCGTTACATTAAATTAAGTAGTGTTATTGGTGAAGAAATTCAGTTTACAAACGAACAACTTGTTCAGTTTGCTAAACTCTAGAAGTTGAAAAAAGACGAAGTCTACAAGACTTCCAAGTTCTCTATCTTTTTAAAAAGGATCCTTGAACAATTTATCGGTGATACCACTATCTATTACACCTCTAGTGGTAAATATGGATTCAATATCCTCAACAACGACAAGGTTGCGCGATGGCGACAGCAGAATCCTCTCGCCCGATATATTCATATAGGAATGGTTCAGATCAAAATTACTTCTCTATTCCGCAAAGGAACTGATCAACCCATCCTTGCTCTCGTTATGGATAATCGATTCCATAACCCTGTTGATGCCCTCATTGGCGGCGTTCAATCCAATCTTGTTAACAATGTAATTTGGTTTAAAATCAAACCGAATTATTTCGTTTCCTTTACAGATCCAAACATTGAGAAAGTTCTTCAACTTAAAATTCAACTTTCCAATCTCAAAATGGATTTTGATTCTCCAAGTCTAGGAATACAGTGGAAAGTTCTCTACGAGCTTACTCGTGAACCCGAAACCACCACCATTCCTACAATTGACTCTAAACTAGTCACTTTGTTCGAACCACGTCTTTTTGATTCAGTAATTGAACCAAAATTACTAAAATGGACCGATCTGGAAATTCCTCGCAATTGGTTATTCGAAAACATCAACTCGGAACCAAAATTGCATGTATAACTGAGCCTACTGTTACCACCATTCAAGCCTCTGGTTCCAATCTTTACATCACCAATAAAGAGAAGCAACCACAGTTGCAGCGTTCCGCCTCAGCACGCATATCTAGCAACTACTCTGGATGGGACAAACTCCTTCCTCCATGAACATCTAATGTTCAAACCTCCGACCTACTACCTCGAAGGTTTACATGAACTGAAAAAGGAAAAGCTCCTATAGATGCACCTTTCCTTCCTGGCTCCAATCACTCCATGAAGTCCGCAAGATTTTTTATTCAGGTGTTGCCTGAATTTCTTATTGGCACTGATTTTGTGACATTTCCAAACATCATTAATTTCATTATAAAAATATTTTGGAAGGCCAGGAGTGTGCTCGAGATCTGCTTCCTCAGTAAGTTTAAGGAACCAGATTTGGTAAGGTTGGAAGAAACGAGTTTTTTCGCGCCATCCAATAGTATTAGAAATCCAGAAGGTTAGATTTCGACTGTACTACCATTGAGAAGTAACTTTATAGACCATTGCTTTGATCATTGATGGAAATGCATTCCAAGAGTCATGAGATGAGAAACTAATCTTGTTAATTACTCCCCAATCGACAGGTTCCATTGACCAGGGAAATCCAGGAACAATGAAAAGAGTCATTTTGGGATTGTTTTCCCGTTATACATCACATAAAAAATATTAATGTCTTCGTGATTCGAAAAATAAAAATCTTTTATTGTAACAGAATGATCCACTATTTTGGAGAGGATTATTCTAAACAGTTCAGGAGAAAAAATGTTTCTTGTTTTTTCAAGGAGACATATACGATTAATCTTGGCAAACGTATTTTGTGGAAAATCTAGTTCGCCAACTAACTGGGCAAGTTTAAGAAAACAATTTATTTATGATAAAGAAAAATCTTTTTCCCAGTCAATGGTGAGACAGATTTGGATGCAAAGCTTTTTAAGCTCATCCATCATAGCTGTTTGTTCAGCTACAAGAGACGTAAGAGTACTCAGGTGTTGTCTGAATTTCTTATCGGCAACGATTTTGTGACATTTCCAAACATCATTAATTTCATTATAAAAATTGTTTGGAAGGCCGGGATTATAGAAGTCTTTTACCTTTATTTGCTCCTGGAGATGAGAAACATTTTTTGTGAGGCTTTACCCACGTTATAGAAAACATTTTGAGCTTCTAAAAGAGTGTCATAAGCCTTAAAACATGAACCAGAAAATGATGGCAACTGTTTGTGACAGTCATTCCATTCAGAGGCATCAATTTTAAGAATAAGTTTATCTTCATTTTGGGGAAAAAAAACTTCAAGGATATGGACCAAATTGCGTTTGATTTGTTGGATAACAATAGTGTTGTTATCAGTCCAATCAAAAACATTATCTTTTTGTAACTTCTTTATTAAAGGGAGCTCTTTTTGAGACAGGTCTTTAATAAAGTTGCGCCATAATTCAAGATTCCTAAAAAGTTCTGTAGCTGCTTTTTATCTTGAAGGACATTAGGAAAATCACGGATTTTACAAATAATGTGGTCCTGTAGTTTTATACCTTTGTGGGTTAAAACTAAGCCAAGGAAATTGATAGTTTCCTGTTCAACCTCTATATTTGTTGGAGATAGAATGATTCCATGGTTTTTCAGTTTTTTTGAAAGACATTAGAGATGTTTTTTTACGTTCATCTCTTGTTTTAGAGAAGACAAGAATATCATCAATGTATACAACAACAAAGTCTTTAAGGTCATTAAAGATCGTGTCCATCCATCTTTGATATATCTGAGGTGCAGTATTGAGACCGACTGGCATTATAACACTACTTAATTTAATGTTAGAGGTCTCGTTGTTTTGAGGAGAAGTAAACTGCATCATACAGATATCTTTATTGCTGTCATCACTATCACTTGATTCTAAGAATTGACTTGAGATTTCATAAAGTATATCTTCAGAATCGGAGAGCTCGTTACCATAAACGACACAGAGGTCTTCTGCGTTTAGACGTTTGATCATTTCGGATGCACTTTTGCCTTTATTGGGACAATTAGGTGCAATATGACCAGGTTCATTACAAATGTAACATTTGCAATCTTTTTTGATCTCAGGAGTTTTCTTTCCTTTGCATCCTTTGCTTCGTTTAGAAGTATTGGGGGAAGAAGAAGATGGTTTAACATACTTCTTGGATTTTTGGATAGGTTTTTTACCTTTCTTCCATTTTTGCCATTTGAAATGTTTCGTTTTCTTATATGGACGTCTTGTGGGGGTAGTGCTGCTAGGTGCACATCCATTCTTCCAGGTTTCTTGAAGGATTTTATTACAACAACGCTGTCTGGCGGGAGTGTTGCTGATTTAGTTTTTAACCTATTTTTTGGCTTTGGTTGCTAAACATTTTTCGTTAATAAGATGATAAATGAAATTAGTACAAAAACCAAGGTTATCGATTCATTTAATGCGAACAAGAAAGTCGGGATAGCCTTTAATGGCTAACTCATCCCAAGGACTTGGAAGTTTATGAAAGAATTGAGGTAACCAATGTTCCATAGCATTGGGAGGAATACGCCTAAAATATTTACTAAATATCTTGACGTATTGGGGAAAACGACAAATGTCACACAATTCAATTTTCGAAAGGGCAAAATTAGCGTCGTCAGAAATAAGTACTTCATCGGTGTGGCCGACTAGTTCTTCTTTAAGGAGGTTCACAAACCCGCATAAAACACCATCAAGGTCGTTAAAGTTATTTAGAAGCTCATCTTTCTGGCATTTACCTTGAGGAGTTTGATCCCATTGGTGAAGCCAATCAAGAGCATCACCTTGTAGGGTTGTTGCAATGTAATCGAGGAAACGATCTCTCTTCTAAATGGTTTTTTGGTTATTAATAAGAATCGCTAAAGATTGTGCCCATTCGTCGATGGTTTTGAGATGATCCTTATAGGGGACATTTGTAAGATTAAGATAAGTTCCATTTTATGAAACAGGAAACTTATTGAGATCATCCTTTCTGGTAAAGGTAGGAAAGGTCATATAATCGTAATTATAAGATGTGGCAGAAGAAGTAGGTTTGGGTTCGGTGGTGTTAGAAGACTCTGCAGGTTGACCAGAGGCTAGAATAGCCATTTCTTCTGTTGGATGCATTTCTTCTATTGGAGGAAAATCGCCGTAAAATGATTCATCTAGAAGAGTATCAGAAACACGCTTTCGGCGATGAGAAGAAGATGTGTAGGGTTGTGGATCAGCTTGTATTTCTTCATCAATGGATTCTGATTTGTCAGAATTGTTGATTTCTTCGGAATTAGATTGATCAGAGAAAACATGTATTTGTTCTTCTGATTCTGTATCACTATCAGATAAATTGAAATTGTATCCGAAGTGTGTAAGGAGATCTTCATTTTGTATAAAAGTTTCTCTTATCTAATTGATGATATGTGTGCTTTCATCAATAGATAGTTGAGAATTAATATATAGCTCGCGTAGGCAACACAGAAAGTCTATGATGCTATCTTATTCCTCTTTGTTGTAACTTGATGAGGGTTGCTCATTAAGTACTTTAATATCTGTATTACCATATATAAGGGGTTTCACCTTATATATGGTGCGAGTAGAAGTTGACCGGTTATCGTCCTCTTTGTGGGAGGAAGGAGTAGATTGTTTATCTATTTTATCCAGTGGATCATCAGGAGGGTAAAGATCAGATAACTTTACTTTTTTTAGTTTTACTAAATCAATAGTCATCTGATGAATTTGATCTTTTAGATCCTGACTGTCTGATAACGAGATAATCTGTGTAAGAGTTTCAAGCTTATCATTTAAGGAAATCATTCCTTGTTGCAAATCATCAAATGAGATTTCCATTTGAGAATTTGTAGATTCAAGGTTAAGTTGAAATGAGTATTTCCAATCATTAACCATGTCTATTAAGAAGTTCATTCCTGCTCCAATTTGGCTAAAATTGGGTGGATCTGAAGTTAAAAAGTGTGCAAGATTCCGTTTACCTTATTTGAGTAAGATTCCGTTTAATCTAATATGCAATTGGTTGCGTCATTCATTCTTTTTAACTAG